CATGTGAGTGTTGGCGACTGCTCAGCATAGCAATGCCATCAGTAGTGTCGAATGCAGTTGGTGAGTTGGGAGGCGTCTGGTTGTAGAACTCTAGTGAACAGGTAGCTGCTTCTGACACACGACGTCTAGCTGAAGAAGTTTCAAATGGACGGAAAAATTTAATCGTTTTGTCAGACAAATTGTGATTCGGTAAGCTGTTAAGTGGATTCATTCTTCTGCTTTGCGAAGCCTGAACGATGCCGCTTGTAGATCTGAAAAAAAAGAAAAAACATTTAAAAACCAAAACACAAATGTAGCAACCAACTTTTTGGCATCTGATTTACTAGATGTCTTGAAGATTTGATTGTCATATTCGTCGAAATCAATTAGAGCGGGAATTTGAGAACAAGGACTGTAATCTAATTCAATCTTTTCACGGCTGGTCAGAATGGGCAACTCCCTTAGTGAAGCTCTCTTTGGCAAGTTTTCCTGCTGCTGACTTTGCAGGATATTTGGCATTTTAATGCGAGGAACAAAGTTAGAGTAAAAGCGCCTCTTGGAAGAGTAAAAACTCAAGTTGATCCAATGCGGCATGTTGTACTGGTTGTCCAGAAGATCAGAGTGTCCATGATTGAACTGGCGACAAATGAAACAACTTTCTTATTTCGATGCATGGCACTTGAACCTACCTTAAAAAGGGGAACAGCATGCAGTGGCTGCTCGCCAAGACAAACCAAGTCGCTGCCGATGCCATTGTCGATGATACGCTGCTTTGTGAGATTAGTCAAATCAAGTTCCACCTCGTAAACGCCAACGCCGGGGGAGATGACCACTGAAAGTTGGCCTGTACGGTCAAAGCTTCTATCCAGGTTGTGTCGCTCAAAAACTGCAAATATAAAGAGATTAAGAGTACAACATTAAAAGCTAAATACAACCAAATGACAATACCATTGAGAGACATGTTGAGAACTTCAAGAAAGTTGCCCTGTGAGGCAGTTGAGTTGTAGGCTCTTGGCACTTTGACGCCCTCCTTTTCGTGATAGTGAATCACGTCCTTTTCGTATGAATTAAACAGCTTTTTCAGCTTCACCAAAACAGAAGACCAATCTTCGTAGCGCTCATTTTGTACCGCAACGCGATAGAAATCTTCAAAAAAGAGATTGCGCTTTGTATCCTGCTGTAGAGCTCCTTTCATTGACTCGGGAAACTCTTCAATAGACGATGCTTCGTAAAAGGTTCGCGAGAAAAAGACAATCGAAACATCGTGACAGCAATTAAATGTCTATAAAAGTGGTGGACGCTTGTTACAAACAAAAAGCTGAATAAAACACCCAGTATACCCTCCATTAACAAACCCTCCATTTGTTGAATAGATCAGTGAGGAAACCGTTGACAGNCAATCGAAACATCGTGACAGCAATTAAATGTCTATAAAAGTGGTGGACGCTTGTTACAAACAAAAAGCTGAATAAAACACCAGTATACCCTCCATTTTTACCCTCCATTTGTTGAATAGATCCGTGAGAAAGCCGTTGACAGCCTTTTCAAAGTAAAGATCTCCGTTGATATCGTAGTCCCACATTTCCGAGCTCATTTGCAAAAAGAGGTACACCATGCTGGAGGCAGATCTAAAGACGACTTTGGTCTGCTCGTTGATGTACCCACTTGCCATTCGAGCACCTTGAGACCACATTTCGAACACTTGACACCGAATCGAGCTGAACTCCACCTTCTTGTTGAGATATACACAGGTGTTGGTGATGGACTTTTTCAGCAGCCACATGTCACTTCGTGCAAGATACTGGTCTTTGAAGAACAGCTCCACTGAATCTAGAACAACGTCTTCTGGCTTGACAAAATTCACAATTACTTCGGTGAACTTTCGCAGGTGGAACGTCAAGGCAAGAGCATGCTCCACACTGATGCTAAACTTGGTGCCCGGTTTGTCATTGATATTGGTAATGTGAAGCAGTAGACGGCTAAAAACAACACTTGTTAGATTGGCAAAAATGTCTTGACTAAACTAGTATCCTCTTACCTGTAATCATCTTGCGGTGAGTAGATTTCGACCACATCTCCAATCTTAGCATTTGGAAAGGAATTCTGACAAATGACAATGTCATCTGCAAAGGTGAACACAGTTGTATAATGTCAAGCTTATTCCACGTTTTGATTACCTTTAGCAAAGCTGTATTCGTGCGTGTGCAACTTGAACAACCGAGGTTTATCGGTCATTTTGATAGAGAGAGATGAAAATGATAAAGTTTCAACAATAATGACGCAAGAGAAAAAGTGCCTCTTGTTTTGAGCAGTTTCGGCAGTTACACCAAAAACTGCAATGAAAACAAAGCGACATGCAGCGCCATGCAGCAACTAAAACCTGCACCAACTCAGGGAATGCCTATGAAATGAATGGAAATGATTCCTTGCGCTTCTTCCATCCTCTTCAATTTCCACTAATCTCTCCAGAATACTCACAGAACTTAAAAGTTTGAAACCATATAATCGCTAGTCCAATAAATACATCTGCATAGTTAGTTTACCCTTTTGTTACCAAAAAGGTAATAAAAACACAGATTTTGGAATTGAAATGAACTTTTTAATTATGGTTTATTTTAAAAACATTCATCGCAAAATTAAACTTCTGGAACAATTTCCTCCTGGACGACCTTCTTCGAAGCCTCGCGAACCTGAGCGGCAATTCGGTCCAGATCCTTATAACCGGCGCTCGTAAGTCGTCGACCACCGCTGTTGGCGTCCTTCTCCACCCAGTTGATAGCTATAGTACGAAAAAGCCAAACTCGGTTATTTGTATTTGTTCTCTAAAAACGTCAACGAACCTTCGAGAGCTTGAAGAGACTTGCGAGCAACGCTGGTTCCGCCGCGCTTGTAGTGAGATGGGCGGACACCTCGTCGGAATCGACCACCGTAGATTTTGGTCAGAGCACCAACGCCTAAGGAGAAGCAAGTTGAGTAAATGGTTTTATTGTTGGCAGTTCCTGGAGCAGTTCAGCGTATGATGAATGCTTCAGGAGACAAGTACTCACCGACAGGTTGACGATGGTAAAGGTGGCGAGCGACCGAGGCGCATCGGGTGTAGAACCAGTCTTCATCGTAGGGAGCAAGTTCCTTGTAGACAGCGGTCTTCACCAGATCGCTCCATTCGGGAACCTTGAGTTTGCCCGACCTGAGGGGAGAAAACGATTAGATTTAAGGCAGGCAACACAAAGATGATCGCTGAAAAATCATTGTGGTGTACACAATGGAGCATCATTTTGAGCCAAAAATGCTTACAAACTTACTTTTTGAGGAAGGCGGACAGAGCAACGACAAAGTCGCTCTGATCAACGTCCTTGACACCGACGGATTTGACGTGAGAGTTCATCTTTGAGTGGAAATGATCCAGAAACACGGCTGACGAAGCCTAGAAGCACGTGCAGATCTTCAGCAGGCAGACAGGAAAAGGCAGCAGAACAGCGCCGCCGCGTTGCACCAGCGGCTTTCTCTGCAACTACGATCGACACTATCGATACTATCGACATGTTGCCGGGAAACGATTTTTCCATTCTCACCAGCGGGCAATTCAAATTGAAAAAATTCAGTTTTATTGAAACAACAATAATTCAGCAAGAAACACAATCATTTGTTTGTAGTTAAATTAATCAGAATCTGAATCTGACTCCTCTTCAGCTTCACTTAGCCACTTGGTGAAGAGTATCAGCTCTTTTTGACCACGCAATCGCTTCTGGTCTTTTACTTCGTGCTCGGGCAGATAATCAGGCTCATTGAACCAAGGCAAAATAGTCTCTTCTGAAAGAACATTCTTGTCGTACAAATACTGAAGTATCTTCACAAACACCACCGGTTTAATGGTGTCGTCATTGCTGAGGTAAAACTCCTCCAGCGAATAAATGCAGTCCTTCTGTGACTCATCACTGCGAATGTAGTTCTGAATGACGGGAAGCATGTACTTCATGTGTTCCTTTAGAGTTACTAAAAAGTCTCCGCCTGCCTGGTGAGTCAACTTTAAAATAGCTTTCAAGACTAAAGAGTTAACTTCATTCATTGGAACGTTGTAAGCATGCCTTTTTCGAGAATAAAGAAGCGTTAGTGAAACAACGAAATGAACCATCAAACTTACTTGGAAGAATTAATTTCCAGAATGAGATTTTCAGCAATTAGTTTCTCTTCGATTCCTCTCTGCAAGCTATCATAGACTTCATTGAAGAAAGCTGAATGAAGGGAAACAAAGGTAAGAAAGTAAAGCTGCAAAGTGAAACTTACAATTGAACTCGTCGAAAGCTGGACTGTCACAGCTTTCGTCATCCGAAGAGTCGGAGAAACTGGTACTGACTGAAGAGGCGTCATCCTCTTCCTTGGCCTCAGTACACCAAATGTCGATTTCGTCGCTTTCATTGTCTGAATCATACTGCTGCTCAAAGAAGAAGCCCTTGCCATGTTCCCCTACAGCCTCTTTATTGTGAGCACTGTCGTCATCATTAACTAGGCAGGTGAACTCCTTGATGCGCATATTTTCGTCAATCACAACATCATTTGCGATGATACAGCCCTGTGCAATGCAAGTGCCCTTTCCAATGACCACCTTAGAGGCGATTATACTCTTTTCAATTGAACAGTTATCCTCAACAGTCACATTATCCCAAATGTAGGAGTTTTTTATATTGACATTACTGCCAATAGTGCAATTCTTGCCAATGACGCTATCGCCAATGGATGAAGATGATCCAATTGATGTGTTGCGTCCAATAGTTACATTTTGCGTTATTTCAGTTTTACTAAATAAAAGAAATTATAGCAATGATTATTTGCATCATTCAGACTCACTTTAAAATTTTGACGTCGTCGTTCAAGTAGACATTGAAGCGTCGATAAGAGCAATCACTCTCCTGATCAGGAACAATTGGAAAAGAAAATCGCTGAATTATGTCTCGACTGATGCTATCGTAAGAGGTCACATCTGAGACACAAGTCGCATAACCATCATCTAAAATGTGCGCATAAATGTAGTGTTGCAAAAGCTGCATTTCGGATGTAAAAGAATTGTAGTTAAATCAAATGAAAGTCTCTAGTAGGAGTATCAACATACTTCATCGTCAGCTAGAAGTCCGTTGATAAAATCATCGCGATTTTCAAAGTCAAAATTGTCGCTGAAATCAGGCGGTACTTTGTCAGAGCAAATGCTGATGTGAGTGTCAATCAGGTCAAAATGCACTGACACGTCGGTCTCATTAAGAAGTTTCTGTAAGAAAAGACGTTCACTTATTGAACTCAAAGCTAACAAACGTTTTTGTGCTTACCAGTGGGATTTCAGCTTGTTTATTCTTGTGGTTATTTTCTAAAAAGACTATCTTCTGCTTAAAATCTAATAGAAGTGCAATTTCATTGTCTGCCGACCGAATTCGGTGGTTTGGGGAGGCTTTTCTAAACACTGTAGTCATGATGCAGCCTGGATCGTTTTTTACGTTGCGTCTAGTGTTCATCAACAACACATTATTAAAATTGTTCATCACTGTTGGGCAAACTTACTTGTGAATGTCAATCAGTTCATTCAGTTGCAAATTGCCAATACAATCACCGTTGAGTAGAACAAAATTTGATTTGATCACTCCTTTGGCATCCAGGTCTCTGATGGCGGCTCCCATATTGGTGTACTCCTCTGAGACAAAGACTTGAATGTTCATCTTGGTAGACAGCTTTTGTTGGTATTCTCTGTTAACGTTGATAAACACACATTACAGCGAGCTCAATACAAGATTGCATCATTTTCCTTACTTGACGAAATCTTTAATAAGCTGAGCATATTGATTACAAAATATAAACGTCTCTTGAATACTTGAGCGTGCCAGCATGTCTAAGGTGTATGCGAGCATTGGTCGATTGACAAGTGGCATTAAAGTCTGGAGAATAAAAAGAAATGATTGACAAAACTGTTGTGTTTACAAATTATTCATTAGCCGAACCTTTGGAGTAGACAGCGTCAAGGGCCCAAACTTTGCATCGAAACTCTCTGCAAAGATGACGGCCTGTAAAATCTGATCATCGGAAATCTTCTTGAGATCCATTTTAAATTAGTAAAGGCAACTTCTTTCAGTGATATTGGCGGTGATGATGTTCAGAAGACGGACAACAGGCATCATTTTCCTTACATGTGTGGCACAGTGGTGGCGCACCTGGCGGAGAAAAGCCCATCTAATGAACTTGATATTCGCAGCAGTTTGAAGTTTGACTTTTGTTTTAATTTTTTAATTTATTAAAAAGCAAATAACAATAAGTATAAATTGTACATGAAAATCGGTAGAAAGTTTCATCGTATGTACAGGTAGTTTAGATATATTACAAGCAATAAATACAAAGCTTTCAGCTTTTAAAAGGAAAACTTGAACGAATATCGACCGCCAAATGGATCAAATCCTTGTGCAAACGGGTTGAATCCTTGTCCGCTAAAGCCATTCTGCTGTTCCGGGTCAAGTGGGTCTTCGCCGTTATCAAACTTTTGCCTCTTCTCTGCATTAGTGAGAACCTCCTTTGCCGAGGCAATATCAATGAACATTTTCTCGGCTTTCTGCTTCTCATCGCCATGATACTGGTCGGGATGCCACTTGCTGGCCAATTTTCGGTAGGCTCGCATAATCTCCTTCTTCGAAGCACTTCGAGAAACGCCAAGAATTTTGTAGTAATCACGCTTTTTAGATTGCTTCTTCAGTTTCTGGGCTCGGCTGTACCCCTCCTTGGCTCGGGTCATGTTCTCATCAATTTGATGAGCCTTCTGATAATCAGTTGCGGCTAATTGAAGCAAATAAATTAGTAACCCCACTTGACAAAACATAAATAAAAACTAACCTTCATCGAATCTCTCAGCGTTAATGTACGCGTCCGCTCGGTCACACAACACATAAGGATCGTCTGGATTAAGTTTGTGGGCCTCAGTGCACACTTCTACGGCATCATCTGAATTTCCATTCTGCAACGCAAAAAAATGATTAGTAAAAAAGACAATTACAAAAAGCAGTTTTCTTACCTTGTTCAAACAGTGGCACATTTTGGATTTAATTAGGAAGACCATTTTTGGATCACTTGACTCGACTTTAAGTGCAGACGTGGACTTTTCAACACAGTCACCGAACTCGTTTTTGGCAGCGTAATCACTGGCACTTTTGACCAGGTTGGCGAGCTTCTTCACCTTTTTGTAGTGATCATGGCACTTCTTGTGATCAGGGTCCAGCTTCAGGCATTCACGGATGGCGTTTAGCGACTCTTCAGGCTCGCCCAGAGAGTAGTGCAATTTGCTGAGTTTGTAAAAACCATCGGTGTTATCGCTCTTCATCCGAGTGAGCGTTCGAAGATCGTTAATAGCGCTGACAATGTCGCCCATTTGCTCAAATGCAAAGGCTCGCATTTCTTTTAACTTGTAGCTCCAGTAAAGCTCCTGAACGAGTGTGCTAAGGATATCAACAGCCTCTGGCCAGTTGTGCGAGTCGATCATGTCTTGGGCGGCGTACATGTTTTGTCGAAGGGTTTCAATTTGCGCGTAGTACTGATTCGCTTCAGCGTGGTACGGATCAGCGCGAAGGATGTGCTCGAAATCAATGTGCGCTTCGTCGAGATTTCCCTGTCGATACAGCACAATGGCCTTCTGAAGACGAGCCGGCGAAAAGTCGGGATTCAAGTTGAGCGACTCAGTCAAATCATCCAAAGCTGATTTGTAGCGACCCATTGCCTGGTAGACGGTGGATCGCTTGAAATAGGTCAAGTAGTTCTTTGGATCGCTCTCTAAAGAAGTGTTGAAGGTTGTAAGTTACTATACAAACTCTTGAGTTGTCCCTCTTTACATACCGACTGCGAGATGATAGTGCGAAAGCGCGTCATTAAGTTGACCTTTCATGAGCATTTGCATGCCCGTTTCAAGGTGGAGGTTGACATCGGCCGCGACAAAGGCTGAAACAAAGTAAATTACACCATTAAAATACATTTGTGGCAGGTGTCGATTGAGGCAAGAACCTACCTAAATTGATGGATAAATCTAGTAAGCACTTGATGAAAACCGACTTGGGCAGAGAAAAAGAATTGAGGTGAAGCATTTCTCCTGCAGCCTGTGGCCGTCAAGGACGGTGCGGCGTCGGGCGAGAATAACACGGGTGAGTTGTCGGGAAGCAGCCACCGGGTGCACTAGGTTGACAGTGAAAGTCCAGAGGACGGGAGAATGGAGTGTCGGAGAGTGTGAAGAGCCAGTGAAGAGTGGAGTTGTTGCAGATGTTTGGTGAAGCGGACCAAAACAGAAGTCAGCACTGACTGTGCACTGCACATGATTGTTGGTGTCCATTTACGGCTGTCGTGCCTGCTAACTGCGGCGTGGTAGTCCCTCATTGGCTGGCTGGCCGCTGATGGGCGCGCCCCTGGCGGCGCAGTCAAATGAAGTCTCGCCACGAAGCTTACCGCCAGCTGACGACAACTTCCCAGTCAGCCTTATCGACCGTAGAAGGGGGCTTTGTATACCAACACTATCAGTATCACCTGCTCTTTAACGCCTAGTGACCAGAAAGACTTTGACTAGTTAATCGCCTACAAAGATGCTTTATTTTTAAATAACATTCCTCCTCTTTGACAGTAAGTTGTAGTCGATGTAGGTGCAGTACTTTTCAGACAGACCAGGTACGTAAAATGCTCTGAATAAGCTACTTGAGCGGGAGCTGTCAAGGAAAGGCAAACTGCCCAGTTTCGACCAGTGTTCGGTGTTCTTCGAATATGGTAAATCACGACCGTGCTCCTCTGAGTAGTCAGAATCGATGAGGAGATCGCAGGCGGAGAGAGCTACGTAACGCGAAGTCTCTTCCTTATTCTGGTCATTCATATGACTTGGTACTATTCGAGTAGGATGCTTGACAGTTGAGTCAAAGTACTTTGGAAGTTGCCCTCTAAATTCAGAAGGAACAAATTCGACGCGAACATTTTCTGGAATCATAAAGTTGGAAGGAAAACGATGCCATTCTTTAGCCAGACATAGTACAGTTTCATTGTTTTGTAGCGTTTTACTTGTTGACAATTCCTGAAGTTTCCAGTAGATGTTTATTGACGCACTGTAACCTGGAAGATGAACAAGGACATTTAAACATCACCACTATTGACGCTTTCATTTCAATTTACCTTTGTACAATGCAATCGTCCTAGAAATGGAGAGTAAAATGAACACCAAAAAGAAAATTCCGATAAAAAACGTAACAGTCTTCTGGAGCTTTGGGAGAAAAGTGGACAATAGTTTTTGAATATTAACCAGTGCTAGTGCTGCATTGAGTGATATCAGCGGATAAACTGGATACATGAAACGTTCTTCCTTGTGAGGCTGCAGGGCGAAATTAAGCACCCACAAATACATTGAGAGCATAGTACAAACTTCTTTTACACCCAAACCATCGCGGAGTTTTCGCTTACTGAAAAGTTTCGAGTTTATCAACACAACTCCCTGGCATGTCAAGTAAATGATATAAACTGTCAGTATGAAAGGCACAAAGTTGAAGTTGAGAAAGAGGTTAAATATGTAGTAGGAGAAGGGTTCAGTGCCGTAAAGTTCAGGCCCATTTAAGGAGAAAACATTGTAGAGGACTATGTTTAGACTGGAGAACACAGCCTTCCCGTAGTAATAAGAATCGACCAAGATGGTTACAGTCTGTTGATAAAACAAAAAATGAATCAAATGTTTTCACGTTTAAAAATTACCATAAGTAAAAGTCCATAGACGAGAGACCATATAATGAACTTGAACTTTTTCTCGTACAAGACATTCAAAGCGAATGGCAAACTAAGAATACAAAAGTCTTAACATCAAGAACTGTTATCAAGTTTCGCTTACCTAACTGCAGCGCAAAATGGCCACCCAACAATGGCGCTAAAAGCTGTGCAGAAGATAAAGCTGCGATAGCATCCAAATAGCCAACTGCCCACCGCTAAACATGTCATTATTTGACCAAATGAACTTGGCAGAAATGCAGTTGAAGAGATGAACATTCCGGAAGAAAAGAGGGCGATAATGCAATAATAGACACTGACTTTACGATTGAAAGCTCTTTTGATGGCACTAAAATTTGAAAACATTTTGTATGTTCAAAAGAAACAGTTTAGCACTTATCATACCTGTAGAGAAATGTTTCGACTAGAGCCCCAACTAAAGCGAGGCAAATCCGAGTCAGGTAAAAAATGGTGACTTTGTCGGCGCTCAAAATCAGTTTAGCAAATGAAGCCGGTATCATGTAGAGCCACAGGAAAAAATATGATCGAATGGCGTACAGAGGTGAATACTCCCAGGTTTGAAAGCCCTTGCCGTATAGCAAAAAATGTGCAGGTTCCCAGTAGTTGAAGGTTTCATCACAGTCGTTGATGTTATTGAATCGAGCTGAAATGAGACGAGCCACTGCAAAGAGGACAAAGACGACCAGACTTGACCTGGAAAGTCTGATGCCGCCGTCCAAAACTGATGGCGAATCAGTTGGCATTTCTAGTGACTGTTTCGCTGTCAACTGTTCATTTGGATGCTTCCGCCGCCTTGATGACATTGGTCAGTTTTGTAGATTATTGCGTTACTTCAACAAGAAAAAGCGCACGCATTTGTCAAAACAATTCGGAGCCGGTTTCTCAGACAGCAATTCTCTGAACAGAAAATCGGTGCGTCCTTCCACGTGGAAATAGACCGTATTTATAAACAATCCTACCAGGCAAACAGCTGTGCAATTTGATTTCTTCATTTGACGTTTCCGATGCCAAGTTTAGTACACAACCTTTCAGTCCCTTCAAAACCCTTCTCCCAGCACAATCATGAACTACTTGGCTTGCTTAAGCCGTTGCTTTGGTTTAGCAGCGGGCAACGTGAAGGTATCTCAGTTTGAGCAGGCACTAAATGAGATTCAGCTCGACACATCAACTATGGGTTTGTTTGCTGCTAACCTTCTTTTGAATGGTGAATAAGTCTTAATCTCTTTTCAGGTAGCAATGTGGTTATAATTAAAAAAGGAAGACGAATTTGCGGAAAAGGAGGGGCAATATGTAATTTTCCAATCGTTCAAAATAAAGCGTACTTTGAAGCAAAAATTCAGCAGTCTGGTAATATTTTGGTTACTGAAGAAAGGCCCTTGAGAGTAACTTATTTTTATTCGAACAAATAGGCATTTGGGGAGTTGGCCTTTCAACTAGCAATGTAGATCTCAATTTAACACCTCTAGGAACTGACAATCAGAGTTGGATCTTGCGACAAGACGGCAAGATTGTTCACAATAATACAGTATTACACGAAATCACAAAGCCCATCCAGGAGGGTGACATCATTGGCGTTTCATTCGATCATGTCCAGCTGAAGTTCTACATCAACAACGTCCCAATGGACTATGAGGTGAGCAACATCAAAGCGGGGAGCGAGGACATTTACCCCGTAGTGTACGTTGACTCCGGTGCCATCATCGACATGGTCTTCTCGCATGCATCCTTTGCCTACCCACCGCCGCCTTCATACGATGCCATCCTCATCGAAAAGGTTCTCCTATGAAAAATTACCTGCTGTAAATTTTCTGTAAATAACCCGGCTGTATTTATTTTCACTTGTACATTACTTTAAAATTGTCTTCATCACGTGCTGATGAATGGAAATGTGCTTAATGCTTTGATGTCTTCGATTTGATCATTTCTTTAAACTGAGAGAGAATTTTGGTCTCGCGCTTGGAGCGCTCCTCCTTGTTGAACATCGCCAAAGCTCGCTTCTCATCAGCGCTGTAAATCTGGTTCTCCTTTCGAATACGGACAGCTTCCATTCGACGATGTCGGCTACCACTCATCACGTATCCGACGTCTTCATAGGAGGCAATCTCATCGCTGGTAAGGCCGATTTCACCTCTTCTGGGAATTCGCTTGCCGTCTTGCACAAAGGCGGCCATAGCTGCACCTTCACCTGGTAGCAACGCTTTACCAAAGTCCTTGCTGTTGATCTCAACGGAGGACTTTGGAAGTGGCCCAACAATGTCCTCCTCTTCAGAATTTTCAGCGCGTTTGTTCTTTTCATTGAGCTCCCGCACAAACTGCTCCTCTTCAACCGTTCGGAAGCGAATCTGAGTTTCGTCGTCTGAGTTTTGCGAAGAAGCATCTTCTGAAGAGCTTTCTCGTCGTCCCTTTTTCACTTTCTTCTTTTTCTCTTTTTTATGTTTCTTTTCCTTTTTGCTCTTTTTTTCTTTTTTAGATTTTTTAGACCGATGCTTTTTCGTTTCTTTCTCCATTTCACGACTAAGCTTGGGACCAATTATTTTGCTGTCTTCCTCTTCCAAGTCACTATTTTCCTCAGCTGAAGGTGAAGATGCCCACAAGTAGCTAACTCCATTTGCGCCAATCGATTCTCTAAGTTTCCGCCTTTTGGCCCAAAAGTCACTGCAACCGAAAGTTGTTTGAGTAAGTTAGCTTTCGGCACAAAATGACAATTCTTACCTGTCTTTGGAATCGCGGCCATGTCCATTCGACCGGTGATGTCGTTCCGAGTGGTAGCTGTCATGGTGGCTCCGGCCATCGTCATGCCTCCTGCTACTGTAAGATCGATATTCAGAGCTCATTGAAGTCCTGTTCCAAGACGTAGTTGTGATAAAGTGAACGTAAACAAATCGGTGGTTTGTTTGTGAATTTTCGGCACTGGCAGTGATACCGTCGTCTATGGACGGCTTTGCCACGAGCTAGTGAGCTGGATTTTGCTTCCTCTCATCATTCTCTTGCATCGCTCTCGCCGGTATTCATTGCCACCTTTGACCGAAAACAGACCCTGTTCCTAGCGATCAGCAAAGATGAGCCACGATTTTGATGATGGGGTAAGTAGAGGCAACTATTTTTCAGTAGGTCAAACAACTGACCGTCTCTTCTCAGGATGACTTCGACGACGACTACGATATAGATGATCAGCCTGAGAGCCCTTTGTTTGTGCCCACCAAGGTGCCAGACCAGGTTCGAGAGTTCATCATCGTGCTGCGAAAGGCAATTCGAGACAGAAGTGTCTACGAAATTCAGAATCTGTATGAAAATACCTTCAACAAGATTACTGAGGCTTACTACAAGCACGTTCCGTGGCCTGATGAAAACCAGGTGAAAGGACTCATCAACTTCAATGCCGATGATGCGAGTGACAACACCTTCATCGTTCTCTACAAGGATTTGTACTTTCGCCACGTTTACGCTCGGTGCCAGAACATCACCACTGACCAGCGACTCAAGTCCTTCTTCAACTACTGTGAGCTGTTCAACTTTATCCTTCGCACCGATGATCCAGTTCAGCTGGACCTGCCTAACCAATGGCTTTGGGACATAATCGATGAGTTCATCTACCAATTCCAATCGTTCACCTTCTTCAAGGCTAAGGCAGTTGCAGACCCCTCAAAAACCTCACCCGAGGACCTGGAGACGATTAATAAGCCCAGTATCTGGAATGTGCACGCCGTTCTCAACGTGTTGTACTCGCTGGTGGAAAAGTCCAACATTAATGAGCAGTTAAAGGAGTTCAACAACGGCCGTCAGCCCGACGAAGTGGCTGGGGAGTTTGGACGACACATTTTCTACAAGATGCTGGGCTACTTCAGCTTGATCGGTCTGCTGCGTCTGCACTCCATTCTGGGCGATCATCATCTTGCCATTAAGGTTCTCGAGAACATTGACCTCAACCGTCAACAGCTGCAGAGCATGGCCATTTCTCGTGTTTTGGCCTGCCAAGTGACCACTTTCTACTACGTTGGCTTTGCGTACATGATGATGCGACGTTACTCTGACGCCATTCGAACCTACTCTAACATCCTCGTTTACTTGCAACGAACCAAACCAATCTACCACTATCGCACCTTTCAGATTGAACTGATCGAAAAGCAAACCGATCAGATTTACAAGCTCCTTGCCATCTGTTTGGCCTTGCATCCTCAACGAATTGATGAAAGTATTCTCTCGCAACTAAATGAAAAGATGCACGACTCCTTCATTAAGTTGCAGTCTGGCGACATTAAGGAATTTGAAAGTGTCTTTCGACAGGCCTGCCCAAAGATTATTTCTTTCATTCCGGGAAACAAGTCTTACAAACATCAGATCACCATTTTCTTGGAAGAAGTTGAGCAGCAGCACAAGTTGCTGGAAATCCGTAGCTTCCTCAAGTTTTACACCACCATGCCGATTGCTAAACTTGCCGAGTTTATGGAAATTGAGCCCAAAGAGTTCAACCGGTACTTGCTATGCTTCAAGCATAAGATGCAAAACTTTGCTGCTCTCAAATCACCGGAGAACGCTAAGCAAGCGGAGAGTGAAATTCAATCCGGATCTGATGTCGATTTCTACATTGATAAGGTAGGTTCACTTTTCATCAGATGTTTCCTTAAAATATTAACGACATTTTCCTTAAATACAGGACATGATTCACATTGCTGACACAAAGGTGGCACCTCGTTACGGAGATTACTTCCTTCGTCAGATCTATCGATTCGATGAACTTTATCGAGTTGTGAGCAACATCTCTGTTTAACTCTTGCACTTGATTCTTCTCGATGAAGTAGATTGGATTTGCCTGAACTAGTTGGAAATAATTTGAAATCAATAAAGCATCAAGTATAATATCTTAATAATCTTTTATTTCAAAATAAAAACAATTGGCATGCAACAGAAAAATAGACTTTGGCAAACACGCATTTCCTATATCATTTACAGATCATGGAAGAGTGAGCAGTGCTGCTCACTGAGCATCTATTCAAAAAATATTGAATATGCAAAATCACAATGGAATCAAACGATTTACATTTTGTACAGAGAGAGTAGAGGAGGAAAACAAGAGACGGATTCATTCAAAGGTAGCTCAGGACAAGGAAAGGTAATCACAGCACAGCAAAGTAAGGAAAGGGTATCAACAGAAAGGCCGCAAGGCTGGTAAGAGGAGTGCCCCCAGAAGGAGCCACAAAAGTGGAAGGGGAAGAGGATTGGCGGAAGAGGGCTGCAGATCGCTGGGCTCCTGGGGCCTCTTGGCCTCCGGCTCAGCAGTGCTGGTCACTGGTTTGGCGGTGCCGGCAGTCGATTCACTGCTTGCAAAGTACAGCGAGTCCTTGCTGGTGGAGCTCGGTGGTGTCTGCTCAGTGCTCGAAGAGTGCTCCCCCAGTTCGGTGGCGGACTCGGTGTCCCCGCTGCCGGAGTGGTCATCACCACTGCCGGAGATTTCATCGTCCACCGGCGCAGTGCCCGCCACGGCGCCCTCGTTGTTATTGTTGTTGTGCCTGACTGCAATGTCCAAGGGAAAAAAAGAATAGATGTGCGTCAGTGAAAGGTGGCCAGCAAAGAGTGACAAACAAGCAAAACTCACGATTATTCTCCAAGTCTGTCTCCAAGCCGTTGTAGGCGTTATTGACGTTCAGGGAAATCAGCTTTAAAGTGCTAATTTGGAGGTTTACTATTTCCAAGTTGTTCTTGTCGCGATAGTTTAGTTGCTCGGCGCTCCTAAAATGGTCAAGAGGGGGAAAAGAGAAGTTAGTTAGTTAGTTAGTTCGAGTTGGCTGAAAAAGTGTGCAGTAAAAGCGGCCATAATTTGTTGACTAAGTGCACCGGTACACTGGGCAAACATGGCAAACATCATAGAGTCATGCACTAGTGTTTAGGAAACATCTCGTTCTGACTAGTTTGCCAGCTAATGTGATACGCACCTTTGTGTGTGGTTGTTGCAAGTGGTCGGCGGGTTGCTGTACTGCGAGCACAAGTTACGTGGAAGTCGAGACCAGAAGTTCTTGTAGCTCTTCACCATTTTGAGAATGTCGCTAATTAGCGTCTCCATTAGGGGCAGGTTCTGTGGAGATGAGGTAGTGTAGGAGGTCGGCTTGGCCGGAAGACGTTGATTGTACATGTACGTATTGCGTTTGACTTTTTTCAGTGGTGGCTTGCCGCACTTGCTGAAGATCTATTCAAGAGAAAAGAGAGAAACAGGTGTAAGTGGAAGCTCATCGGAAGGAGCATTCAATCAATCTGTCCATCTAATGAGAGACACCTACCCTATTGGTAATGGTAACTGCATTCTCCTGGAAGGTCATTATTGCTTCTGATACTTGTATGTTAATCGGCTTAACTGCCAGCTCAATGTTGAATGAAGTCTTGAGTCGATTGGCCAGCTTGACGATATCATTCACGTAGAGATTCCACTCTCGATTGAGATTGGCGTGGTAGGGAAAGCATGCCTCCTCGAGGACACTGACGCACATGTCTTGGCAAGGCCAGTTTGTGCTGGCACTGGGACCATTGTGGCAGTTGTTGCAGTAGGACATTGCATGCAGACGATTCTCACACGAACTGGTGATTGGTGCCTGTGGCGAAACCGGGAAAAAAGACAGTTTATTAGTGAGTCATGCAACAGTTGGGCATTCTCCTCCTACTTACCTCCATGATATTCTTGAGCACTTCATTGCCAAAGTTTAGCGCTTGAACAAAGGTTCGAATGGCTACGAAGGACCGCTTTATCTGCTGAATGAGCTTCTGTGGCATTTCACCGAATGGCATCATCTCCTCCATGTGCTCTAAGGTGCACTCGAGATAGGTCGCGTTCATGGCGTATGAATTGTTCAGCTCAACAAACATCTTCTTGTAGAGCAAATTGAAAAACTGCTTTAGTGAGATCGCCAAATCGACGGAACCCGTTGAGTAGTAGTAATTCAAATCTCGAAACATATCATTGAAGATGGCGGCGTGTTTGTCGTACAGGTAGCCATAAGTGTTGGTGAACATTTGGTGAAAATTATGATGAGACACTTTGAGGAGATCACGAAAGAAAACTGTAGTACAGGGGAAGGAGAGAGAAAGAGAGAAGAACGGAGATATGAGAATGTGAATTTCCAAAGGAGAGCAGTTTAGGAAAGAGGGACTGAACAATCGATAAGAGTGAGCCCCCACAGTGGGAGCGCTTATCTTGTCGATTCTAAATGCATTGTTCTGCAGCAGTGCACCAGTGCACCGGCGACAGCGGTGGCGGCATGCATTGAAGTTGAGGCTGCCAAGGTAACAGACACTCCGAGGGAGAGAGAGAGAGAGAGTAGATCAGTGCAGAGAGAGGTCAACTAGTGTAGTAGCCAGTTGGCGAGAAATATGAATGGGCTGACTAGAATGGAGACTGGTGGCGGCACCGGCAGAACGGCTGCAGAAAGGACCAACAGCAACAGCAGCAGCATCAGTGAAGCCAGGCGACCGGGACGCGATCACGACTGGCGCGAGGAGGTAAAGGACTTTATTACTCGATTCGAGATGGTGGTAACAAACGAGCCGCTATGTAATTTGCCTGAGCTTAATGCGAAAGGAAGCGCTCGCACGGAGAGTGCAAAGATCGATGCACCAGCATCAGCGGCATCGGCAGCAATACCAGTGCGCAGTGGGGAAAGTGCTGGTGGTGGTGCGCTCATGAATATGAATTAAGAATGGAGAGGAGGAGAGCACAAAGGTAGTGCTCATTAGTGGCTTAATACGAATTAATGCGATCTTATCAAGTGAAGCAGTCGCCCTTTCCCTTGCTCAGGCTGATGCTTCTGTCGGAGGTGGCATGCCATCTTCAGGCCATGTCCACAGGAACATGAACAGTTGGCAGTGAGCTGGCTTACATTGTGGCACATTCTCTTTCTCTCGAAGGCAGCTTCCCCAGCCATTGCATCGTGTCGGGGCAGAAGTGCTGTCCGCAGTAGTGCCAGTGCCGCAGTACCTCTCACCCTCGACATTGTGTCCTGCTGTGCTGTGCAGTGTGCACAGATTTGGCAGTCAGCTTTGGCAACAAATTGACCACAGTGCCGAATACTACTGCTGCAGAACTAGCGACGTGCACTCTGACTGAGCAGCACTTTGACTCGCACCTCGGAACACCTCAGCAATGACTGCTAATAAATCTGCTAATAAATCTAATAGTCTCTGCTCTTCTCTCGGGCTTGCTCTAAGCGGATAATTAGTGGTAATTAATAACGAGTGACATCACAATGTGAGAGCGAGTGTGAGGGAAGACTGCTGAGTAGAGATCTCATTCGCAGTGAGGGTTGCTCAATCTGCTGTGGCTAAGACTGAATGAAGAGAGTGCGTGCCTGTGCTTCGGTGGTGTGAACAGTGGTCGATCAATGGACGGGGGCAGCGGTGGTGGATCAGTGGCCGAGGTGGAGGACCAGTGCAGTCTCATTCCGAATGGTGCTCGCTGACAGCCGTAGGCGGCATGCCTGCCCGGCGCAACAACCTCAAGGAAGGCACATGACAATTGACATGTCAACAAGTGGTCCATGTAAATGGAGCCTATCAGCGGACCATCTCATCGCGTCTAAATGGTCGCGTGTCCACAGATATGCGGCTGAACCCTTCTCCCTCTTTATTGCGCCCCTCTTTTCTTCTGCGCACTCACTACCTCTCTTCAGTCTCTTTCATTCTCTCAGTGGCAATTGTTTAGGTTCAATGGCAACTAGGCAACCACCGAGTAGAGGACATGAATGAGCGAACAGGGGCGAATGTCAAGTACAAATGAAGTTATTTTTATTATTGGCTTGCAATCGGCGTAGCAACAGAGCGCTGAATGGCTGCAAACGATAGGATCGAGAGGTGCCTTGCCTGGCCATTTGAGCAAGGTGCGGGAAGAGGTCACCGCCGGGACATAGCGACTAATTACTTGGTGGCCGGGCAAGGAAAGGAAACGGTGACGACACTGGAGAGCACTGCTGATCGCCATTTGGCCAGGCAAAGCCAAGTCAAGCGATGCAGCCTGTGACCAATTGCAGCACACCAAGCAACAAATGCAACGATTAATTGGGCAGAGGAAATGAACGCCACATCCTGACGACGATGATGAAACAGGCACTTCACAAGGCCGGGGCGGCATCCAGCCAGCAACAAGTAACCTCTTAATTAAGTTAATCAAATTGTCCGACTAAACGGAAGAGAGAACGAGAAGGAGAGCAACAACAGCCAGTGAGCGAGCGATATAATCTGTGGCATTGATAAGCAGTAGTTGGAAGCATGCAATGAATGCAGTGTCGGGTGAGTGCTCTCTTTCTTTGCTGATGCCTTCCAGGTATATATCACCAAAAATTAGTGTGATTGCCCATGCATGGGAGCTCTCCTTCTCAGTTTGGAGATGATTCAAAGGAGGAATTGGAGGGGCTGCAGTGCAGAGCGAAGGGTCTTATCTGCTGGAGGCTGAGCGGCACACTGCTGAGGTGGTAATGGCGTGCACAGTGTGCAGACACCTTCTGTCAGCGAGGAGGCTTTACAGTGTCATCCGTGGCCGGATCGTCGCGCGTGCGACACAGTGGGCAAGGCAAGTGGCCACTCGGTGGCTCACTTCCACTGCTACTATGCAACAATCACACCGCTGCAACATACACACACTCACTTTGCAACACAGTGCGAGACAATTCTTGTCCGGTGAGGTGCTTCGATCGCGAGTGATACGTTGCCCATTATGGCCGTAAAGGCGATTAGCCGTGGCTTTCATCGCTTAGGCAGGCAGGCAGGCTCAGAGACAAAAGGCTCGAGTGTGTCTCATTAGCACAGGGAAGAATTTATTGCTTGTCTAGTGTTTGACAAGTCTGTCTGAGCGAGCTCAGAGAGTGAGCACCTTCTCAATAAGCAAACATTTACCCAGCGCTGCTGTAAACCTAATTTACAAGCTTTCAAGGCTCGCTCATTCTGCACCATTTCCTCGGTCGATTGGTCAGTCTGAGTGGAGTGTTCTGTGCTCAGTGTGCACACTGATCAGAGGCAGGCAACTGCAACTGGCAATGGACTACAGTGCACTGCACTGAATGCAGTCCACCGATTGGTTTCATCTGGCCACTTGGCCTGGCAACAATATATCGCCGCGGTAATAGCTCGGCAAGGAGGCAAACAAACAAACAATTGCGCCCGAAGGAGAGGGCTGCCGGCTGGCCCGAGACGGCAACTCACCTCGCTCGCTCTCTCCAGTGCTCCCACCGCGACTGAGCAGCACTCTTCCACCTCTGTCAGTGAGCAGTGAGCTGAGCGCAACTCTTATGGCCCCGAGAGTATAATAGCAGAGGCTGAAGGCGAAGCAGAAGTGCACGGGGCAAGTGACTAAGTGGGCACGTTAGAGCGAGAAATTCCATTAAGCGATTGCCTTGAATTCTTTGTAGCACCGCGGTGAGAAGGTATGCTGCGCTCTCTCTCTGTGCTCTTGCTGCTGCTGCTGCGGCTGTTTCTGCTGGCTCGCTATGATTCTCAAATTAGATTGCAACAACTGCAGATGGACGAGCAAACTTGTTCCTCCTCGAGATTTCGGTGTGACTGCGCAGCACTGCTCACTGCCAAAGCTGCAGAGGCTTCGGTGGCTTCGGCAAGCCATCTCGCTCCGTTGCCCTGCGCGCGCGACAGCCTCTTCTCAGCCGACAATGAGTGATCAGGTGAAGATGACCAGTCGTGGCGAGCAGCAGCGGCACAAGAAGAGGCAGCAGAGATACCCCTCGGCGATGGGGAATATTAGTGCCACCGAAGAAGAAGAAGAAGTGGACGACGACGACGGATGCACACACAGGCACAGACTAGGAGACATGCTCACCGACACCGATGCCGCTCAGGCGGCAGCTCGCTGATGCCTAAAAATTGCTTACGATTGCTGCTGTACACGTGCTTGCGTTTAAAGTTGCTGCAGCAACAGCAGAAAAATACAAAAGCCTAATGGTTCCAGGAAGGCAGAAGTGTCGCCCTCAGTTCCTCCTCACCTGATGACAGGAGCGCCTGATGAGTGAGAAAGACAATGGAAGAGGAGGAGGATGAGTCAGTAGCAGTGGCAGCAGAGTAATCAAAGGCTCTGATCAGTGTCTCCCGTGGAGAAAATGGATGGCTCATCGATGGCTCCACTTGTGCCTGCAAGTTGTCACCTCTGCATTCGCCATGCAATCAGTGACACTCAAGGTGGAGGCGATTGTGGGCCAGCAGAGGCAGAAAAGCAGCAGCAGCTAACAAATGGTAGCAAATGGTAGCCTGTTGCACAGGCTGAGTTTAGTTGGCTGAGAACTGGCACTGCCGACCGCCGAGTGTTCCCCGTGGACTAGAGGACTCGTGTAAATCAAGGCTAGAGAAAGAGCGGCAGCGAAGGGCAAACACATCTGCCGGTGATTGTCGGCGTGCTCTGGTCAGTGAGCACTTCCCCCTGGGAGAGCGGAGACAGAGTGCGCAGTGGGCCGCAGCGGTAGGAAGCAGCGAGGCAAATAGCAACACACCAAATAGTTGATTTTAGTAGCTATTTGTCCATAAATTACGCAATTAGAATAAGTGATGCCATTAGACATGTGTCTGCTGTTTACACTAAACACTAGGACCACTTACCATCGAATCGGTCGGCGTGCGTCTTCAGATTGGTGCGAACATCGCCAACTGCCCCTTTGAAGGCATTGCTGAACTGCGGAATGGGCAAACTTGTTTGATCATACGGCCGCTGATTGTATGGACTTCGGTTATTATTATTATTATTATAAACAGCAGAAACGGAGGCAGCCTGGGCCAGATAGTGACACATAGTCAATATGTGCACTAGCAGGAGGAGGGTGACGAAGAAGGGGAGGCACTGCAGCCGCCGTGCACTGGAACAAGAGCGCATTTTCCGGCTTATTTACACTTGCAGGCGATTGCGGGCACTGACATGGCTCGGCATCACTGAGGCCATTGAGCGGAGGGACACGGGGGAGCAAGTGACATGGGAGGAAGCAGATGACTGAATGAATGCATGAATGAATGAATGAATGAAGTGTCCTCACTCACACAGGCACTGCCTGAATCAGTGAATGAACGAAGAGAGAGTGAGGAAGGTGCTGAGGAGGTCGCAGGGGACGAAGATGAAGACGGCGACGTCGGAAAATGGTGAGTGAGCAGAGGTCAAAGGCACGGGGGCAGTGTCAGTGGCAGTGGCAGTAGGGTAGTCAGCAACTGTCACCCAGATGGAGGGGACAGGCACATCCGGTTCAATCTAGGTGACCAGACGGGCGCCGACGCCGAGGGACACTCACGCTGAAGCGTTCATCAGTGGGTGAGGGACAGAGGCAGAGGACGATGTGGGCGAGAGACGTGCGAGGAAGAAAGGGTCATGCTTGCTGCTGATCACTGCATCCGTACGACTGTCAGCCTCTGGTATTCTCGTGTCTCGAAGACAAACAGCTGCTGGTGCTGGTGGTGCTTCTGCTGCGATGAAGGCTATGCGCGCACACTCGCAGGACCACGAAGACGGCGACTGGCCTGGAAGGCTGACTGCGGCTGACTGACTGACTGACTGACGGACGGCAAAGTGGCAACAACAAACGCCGACTGCACCGCACACAGACTGCGCCGTGAGGACTGCCTCCAGTGCCTCCTTCCCCTCTCACCACAAATCGTAAGAAGCAGCAGCAGCCGCCGTCGTCGCAGATGCCCTCTTCAGTTCCACTGGAACGCATGGTCCTGACCTCTCTTCTGGCAGCTCTGCTCACACACACGACCACCATTGTGTAGTGCCGGGCACGGAAACGCATGTCCTCCGCCGTGGACTGGATAAACTGAATGCAATTTTTTGCCCTTTCCCCCAGCTATCAGAGTGGAGTGTCATCAGAAGCTGCTGCTAGGCTATTATCAGACAGCCGATACCTGCAGTCTGCTGCCGTTAAGTGGGCGATCGGGTGAACCTGCTGCTGCTGGGGTGGCACACCTGAACTGCCACAGCTACAGCAGGTGAAGAAGCTGGTGGAGTTGTTGACACAAGTGATCAATGCAGTGCATTCAGATCAATCAGTTCTGATTGGCACAATCGCACGTTTATTACATGCAGTGCAGCTCAGAGGTGCTGCTGCTGCCGTGGAACCTTCGACGCCATCTATTAGTGTGCAGTGGAGGGGGCTGTAGTTTAAATAAATTGTAAAATGCAATTTGAATGGGCTTTGACGGACTTGGAAGCACTCAGTTTGGTCAGTGACAGCTTCTCTGAGACAGTTCACTCAAACTGGTCAGCGGGAGCAGTGGGATGAGACTGGCGCTGGTGCTGAAGTGAGCAGTAAACTGAGCGGTGCTGTGTGACGCCGGGCGACGGCGATTGTAGGTCAGGGCTGCATCCTCTGAAACCAGTAAGCAGTGGTCGTGGTCAGACAGGGGTAGTCGACTTGAAAACGAGTTGCCACTGGCCCAGTCTCTTCTTCTCCCTCCATTCATCCATTCCCTTCCTCCATCCTTCCCTCTCTCTCCTTTCCGCTATCTATGGCCACCAGCATCCGATTAGAGTGCTGTCCATCCAATAAACTCGATAAGCGCCGACAGCATCTCTCTTTCTCTGCCTCCCTCTCTGTCTTGTATCTCACTACTCCTCGCCGAGTTGCCCTCGATGCGAGCAGTCCAGTCTTTGTGTTGGTCCAAACTGTCAAGACAGCATGAATTGTTCACTATCACATCTTTGCCACAGTTGGCACCAGTGTTTTCTGCTCTTTGTGGTAAGTACCGTTGGAAATCACTTGCTTTTGGAAGCTCTGTCTGGGCGGCCAGTTCTAATCAGTGTCTGAGCAGTGACCACTTCCTTATTTCGGTGTTTTCATTCTCCTCCACCCTAGGTCGTTTTGTGCACTGCCCCACACCTGCAATGGATCCACTGTCAGTCCTGTGGGCCGAAAGTCAGTCCGCGACTGCTGCGCGAAATTCCCTGCGACATGAACAGTATATCCTTCTGCACACAGCCTGGCAGCGCCTATCCCTGGAGTGCAGTGCGCCGGTATATCTTCGAAAACCAGGGCTTCATGAAGCGAATGTACGGTGAGAACAGACAGAGTCAGGTGGTTCGGGAGGAGATTGCCCGCATGAACGACCGCTACGATGTCGTTGACATTGCGGCATTTCGCAGTGCCAAGAGTGATTCGCTGAGCACCGTCAACGGGAATGATCTCAACGAAAGTGCCAACACCAACACTGAAAAGGACATTGAGTTCGGACAGACGACCAGTGTGCTGCTCAATGACACGGCAATATTTACAAACAACAGCATCTCTGGTAGGGAGGCAGAGAATGTGACCAGCAATGTTTCAGAGGCTGAACCAGAGACGAATCAGTACACTACCACTGCCACTGCTACTGGCGAGCACCTGACAAAAAGCGGCACCGAGGATGGTGAGGTAGAAGTGCGAGAGGAGGAAAACAGTCCCACGACTCCAGCGGCAGACATTGACAATGCCGTCGCCTCTGATGAGGCTCCCGAGAAGCCCGGCAAGGGCTACAATGCCTGTCCCATCACACAGGAAGTGGTGGCGCCCTACTGGGCCAACAACACCCGAGGCCAGACGCTGGCCCTGCTGAACGTGTACCCATTCGAGCAGTAAGTGTTTGAGGGAGGCCATTAGGTGTTTAGTAGACTCGTAGTGCACTGAACTGACACAGCTCCATTTTCCCACGCAGGTACATTCACTGGGAGAAGTGCGCTTTTGAGGGCGAGCAGATGAACTGTCGGGAGGGCTGTCGCTGTGAGCAACAGTATCGCCTGCACCGACTCCTGGCTTTTGACCCAAAGAATGAGTGTCGCGGCATCTTCTCCGACTGGTTTCGCTTTCCAGGCTGCTGTGTCTGCATCTGCTATGACAACCACGAGCGCATCAACAATCGAAAGGCCCGTCTCTAGAGTCTAGAGACCCCGTTTCAACGTCTGGTCCCCCTTGAGCTATCATGTAATTAGAATCTGTACACCTCTTCTCCGTTCTCGCCTGTACATAAACTGTCCACATTTTGTTCTGGCGGCCAAAACAATTATTTATTTCCATTTTTCCCGCAAAAACCTACCATTTTTCGTATTACTGTTTTTGAAATAAACTGCAAACCAAAGAACCAATGTTTCGCAATGTCAATTTGGCGGTAAATTCAGAGCCTCTACGCGGATAGTGTGGATATAGGCGACTAGATCGACAAGCTCGACTCAACTTGAGCACCTCGTGTCGGATTCTCAGCGGTAGAGTCTCTGCACTTCTGGCATTGCATGAACTCGGTACCGGATAAATAACACAATGGATTTCAACGAAGTTCTCTCCCAATTAACCAGCCTCGACAATGAAGTCCGCGCGAAGGCTGAGAAGGTGTACGAATCGATAAGTTTGTACGAGAAAATTAATTTGCTCTTCATATCGATTTGCGATGACTCAAAGCCAGATGATGTAAGTACTTCAACTGACAAAAGACCGCTGTTATTGTTATTTTTATTAAATAATAAAATCGTTTTCAGATTCGCCAACTGGCTGCTGTCTTGTTGAGACGAGCACTGTTCAGTTCTTATGATGAAATCGCAAAGTGTGCTGACAATACGTTTGTGGACCAACTGAAAGGACACGTTATTGGCTTGCTGCAAAAAGGCATCTCCTTGAATCTAAGGAAAAAGGTCTGCGACGTTGCCTCTGAGCTGTCGAAAAACTGTATCGGTATGCTCTTCTTGATCAAGTAATGTTTGCTTTTATTAACTAATTATGATCCTACTAATTCAGACGGCGAGGGTAACAATACATGGCCAGAACTATTGAACTTCATGTTTTCCGCTGCCAACTCGGACAACTTGGAGCTTAGAGAATGCGCTCTTCTCCTATTCAACTCACTCCCTTCCATTTTTGGCAACGAGCAAAACAAGTACTTGGATTACATCAAAAAGATGCTATTAAAGTCCTTGTGCGAAGGGTCAAGCGAGACGGTATGTTTGTTATTCTACTATAGTGTACTTGTATTTAAAAGTTTCATTTTTCAGGTCAAACTCGCAGCATTGAAAGCAACAACTTCGTTTATCTTAATCAACAGCGATGACAAAGCCATACTCAAGCTGTTTGCCGAAACCGTTATACCAATGTTGCAAGTTTTGAATGTTTTAGTGGAAAACGACGACGATGAGCCCCTACTGTGCTTCATTGAATTGGCGGAAAAATGTCCGCAAGTTCTGCGCAGCAGCTTTAACCCATTGATGGAGATTTGCATGAAGACTATTACGAACGCTGATGTCTCTGAAAAAATAAAGTTTTCTGCTCTTGAAATTATTGTCAGCTTTGCAGAAAATGCTCCGGCCACAGTCAGAAAGAGAGGCACCAACTATCTGATACCACTAGGTACTAGAAAAGTAACTCTGTGCAGTTTTAACGTGAATTATTCTTAACAGTTACTCAGCTACTGATGATGATGACAGACATTGACGATGATCCCAACTGGTCTTTCACCGAAGCAGAAGAAGAAGATCAGGACTCGGATAGGTAATGTTTTGCACAAAATGACTTGAAAATTGACCTGATCGAACTTGTTTTTCCCTACCCTGCAGCAACAACATTGTTGGCGAAACTTCTCTTGACCGTTTGGCCTGTGCCATTGGCGGCAAGACTGTTTTCCCCATTGCGATTAACATCATTTCGCAAATGCTGCAAAACGCTGATTGGAAGCAGCGATACGCCGCCTTGATGGCCATTTCTGCTCTGGGAGAAGGGTGCCACAAGCAGATGCTTCCAATGCTCGATCAGATTGTCTCCGTCATAATACCATTTGTGGGAGACAGTCACTGTCGAGTTAGGTACGCTGTCTGCAATGCCCTCGGACAGATGGCTACCGACTTTTCGCCTAACTTTGAGGAAATGTTCCACGACAAGTTTATTCCCAACTTATTGATGCTTCTCGATGACAATGCAAATCCTCGCGTTCAAGCACACGCCGCCGCTGCTTTTGTGAACTTCTTTGAGGAGGCCACTCAAAAGGTTGTTCTAAACTACGCCGACAGCATCGCACAGAAGTTTGAAGAAGTTCTCAAAGTCAAAATGGACGAGCTCATGAAGAAGGGAACCAAGCTCGTTCTTGAGCAGGTAATCGTCTCGATCGCATCGCTTGCCGATGTCGTTCAAGAGACTTTCATCGGCTACTACGATCGGTATGTGTGCTCTGAAACACCTTCAAAACTAGCTTCTATATGGACCTATTTGGTTTTTTCAGTTTTATGCCATGTTTGAAGTACATCATTGAAAATGCCAACGTAAAGGAACTGCGTCTGTTGCGAGGAAAGTCGATCGAGTGTGCCAGTTTGATTGGTCTTGCTGTTGGCAGTGAAAAGGTAGGATCTTTTTATACTTTATATATATTATATCTACTAGCAAAACTCATGCAATATTTAACTCTTGGTAGTTTTGTGCTGACGCATCTCAAATCATGAACCTTCTCTTGCAAACGCAAACGGGAGAGNGTGTGCCAGTTTGATTGGTCTTGCTGTTGGCAGTGAAAAGGTAGGATCTTCTTATACTTTATATCTACTAGCAAAACTCATGCAATATTTAACTCTTGGTAGTTTTGTGCCGACGCATCTCAAATCATGAACCTTCTCTTGCAAACGCAAACGGGCGAAGTGGTTCTGGAAGACGATGATCCTCAGCTTTCCTATATGATTACAAGTTGGGTTAGAATCTGCAAGCTATNGTGCTGACGCATCTCAAATCATGAACCTTCTCTTGCAAACGCAAACGGGAGAGGTGGTTCTGGAAGACGACGATCCTCAGCTTTCCTATATGATTACAAGTTGGGTTAGAATTTGCAAGCTACTAGGTCCCAAGTTTGAGCCATACCTTCCAATGGTTATGCCTCAAGTCTTGAAAACGGCTTCTCTAACCGTTGAAATGGCTCTTTTGGACCGTAAGATTTTTTAAAAAAACGGACTAGTGGTGATCAAATATACTTAAAACCATTTTTGCAGAGGACGATGTTAAAACTTACGAAGACAACAGTGATTGGCAATGCTTCAGTTTAACTNCTAGGTCCCAAGTTTGAGCCATACCTTCCAATGGTTATGCCTCAAGTCTTGAAAACGGCTTCTCTAACCGTTGAAATGGCTCTTTTGGACCGTAAGTATTTTTTAAAAAAACGGACTAGTGGTGATCAAATATACTTAAAACCATTTTTGCAGAGGACGATGTTAAAACTTACGAAGACAACAGTGATTGGCAATGCTTCAGTTTAACTGATCAAGTACGTTTGTATCAACGTCTACTTTTGCCCTCTGAAGCTAACGTTGTATTTCTGTTTTCTTTAGCAAAACTTTGGCATTAAGGTCGCAGGCTTAGAAGACAAGGCCACCGCCTGTGAGATGCTCGTGTGCTATGCACGAGAACTGAAGCAGGGCTTTGTTAACTACGTTGAAGAGACCACAAAGATATTGATACCACTTCTCAAGTTTTACTTCCATGAAGGAGTGAGGCTGGCCGCTGCCCAAAGTCCTCCCTATCTTTTGGAGTGTGCGAAAATCCGAGGCGATGCGTACGTGTTGGAGATCTGGAACTACATGTTGCCAATTCTTTTAAATGCCATTGAAAATGAGTCCGACAAGAGCGTACTCTCTGAAATGCTCGTCTCGCTGGCTGACTGCATCACCACCTTGGGCATGAACTCACTCAATGAGCAGCAAATGCAGGAGGTGATCAGAGTTATCGACACTCACTTTACCGAACACTTTGAGCGCTACCGAGAGATGCAAAGTAAGCGAGAAGACGAGGACTACGATGACGACACTGAAGAGGCGCTAATTGACGAAGTATGATCTCCAGTGTTCGAGAGAAACATTTGTTCTAACCCCAGTTAATCTTCTCAATAGGACGATGATTGCGCGTATCTTCTTTCCAAGCTCGTCGATGTTCTTCACTCCTGCTTTATGTGTTACAATGAAAAGTTTTTGCCCTTTTTCAATCAACTTTTTAAGCACATTATCACCTTGGCTGTACGTATCAATGCACTTTTTTACTCAATTTGGATAACCTAATTTATTCTTTTTCAGGCTCCTGATCGACCAGTTGCTGACCAACAGTGGGCTCTCTGTGTCATCGACGACATTATTGAGTTTTGTGGCGTCAAGTGTATCGAGTATAAGGACATCTTCATTCCTCTGTTCAACACTAACTTGAAGAGTCCCCACACTGAGCTGCGACAAGCATCTGCCTATGGTTTGGGAGTGCTTGCCAAGCACGGAGGAGACACCTTTGCCAAGGTCCTCGCCGACAGTGTTCCCAGCCTGGTCGCTATCATTCAGGATCCCAATAGTCGACTGGCCGAGAATATTCATGCCACTGAGAACGCCATTTCGGCCATCACCAAGATCATCGAGTTCAATAACTCTATGGTACGTTCAGAGTCCTTCAACACTTGTCAGTTATATTAATTTTATCATGCTTTTCATTATTTGCAGATTGACGTTGATGCTGTTCTCTCATGCTGGCTGACCTGGTTGCCCATTTGGGAAGACGAAGAGGAGGTTATTTACGTGTACTCCTTCCTTTGCAAGCTGCTTATAAGGTATGTCTTTTGTTCACTTTTATTTTTTGATTTTATGTTTCTAATCTTTTGCGAATCTTTTCTAGTAATCACCCACGGATTTTCGGCGCTGATAACTGCAACTTGCCGCACATTGTCAGTGTGATCTTGGAAGTATTTGCGCGCTCTGTCATCGAATACAGCGGTGAACTTGGTATAAAGCTGGTGCAGTTTGTGAAGGTTGCCAATATCGACAGCAGTATATCTTCCAAGTTCACACCAGAGCAGCAAAAAGTTCTAGAGCAAATTAACAGCATTCAAATTAATTAATTATTTAGAAACATTTTAATTTAAATTATTTTTGATAAAGTAATAAATTCTTTTAATTCTTATTCTTAATCATGAAAATTACAAGTGAGAGAGAGCAGAGATGTTTGCTGTAAAAGAGGTCAACCACACCATTAGTGGACCATCGGGACGGCTTGTGGCGCACTGCCTGACTGCGCTGTAATGCCCATGTTGACTGGGTCCACAACGATGTCCTGCAAGTCGCGAATTCCATTCTTGTCAATGATGCTCACTTTGAATGATGGCAGACTGACAACAAGACGCTTCTGGATCTCGGCAACGCACTTGCGCAACATCTCGAGAGCTTCATCCAGGGTACTGTCAGCCTTGTAGATGCGATCCATTATACCGGTGGCAAACATGGCGCCGTAGCCGTGCATTCCGAAGGGCACTTTGTGGCTAGTAGCCAAGTAGTCCAGATAGTGGAGTTCAGGCTCATTGGTCTGAGTGTCATAGCCGGCAACAAGCATATTGACGTGGTAAGGAGTTCGTGAGCGCAAGTAGTTGGCCAAGTTTCGCTGAACATAGGTGGCCGCAGCCAAAGGCGACAACTCGTAGCCGTTTCGCATCTTGTACAGCTGAATGTTCTTGCTGATATACTCGGCAAACTGGATCGAATCACCGGGCTCACCAATGACTGCCATCGCCAAGTTGTCGCTCAGACGCTTGATCTTGTTCACGTCGTGCTTCACCACGAGGATACTGTGGACGCTGATTCGGTCAGCTGCAAGCAGGACAAAGTCCTTGAACTGGATTCCGATGAGACATTCCATGGTTTGTTGAGAACGTTTGTGGAACGCTGAAGATGATACGAAAGACGCGGCTTGACAGGCGGCGAAAGAGTGACTGGCAAAACGCAAATGAAGAAAGTCTGCTTTTTTCCACAACAAACGGAAAGCGTCCACAGAAGACGGTACCGGTAACAGAGTATGCGGACAAGAGTTAGAAAGCTGTTCTCAATCACCTTGTGGACTCGCTCAAATCTGTTTGCTGGTGTTTTCCTTTCGTGTTCCCCACTTTTCACCACTCTTCAACCGGTCCAAGATGTCCGCATTGATGCGATCCTCGGTGCAGCCTGTTGTCAAAGCGTTGGCCAGCCGCAGCAACGTCTCCGTGAACACATGCCGTCACTTTCTGTGGTACGGTAACAAGAAGGAGGTCCGCTTTCCGAAAGACATTGACCACGCCACTGGCGAGGAACGTCTGGTTCGTCTGGCCATCGCTAAGGGCATCAAAGATCCTTTTGACATCCAAGAACAGGTCCGCGGCCCAGGCACTAAAGGTATGTCACTTTTTAATGAAGATTAAAATGGATCAATTTGCGATTGTGAATGTTGTGTTTACCTTTTGACTCTCTGTACTATTTTTTTACAGAAAATCCCAACATTATTCAAACCTTTGAAGGCACCCGATTGATTGGCTGCAAGTGCNTTAAAATTGATCAATTTGCGATTGTGAATGTTGTGTTTACCTTTTGACTCACTGTACTATTTTTTACAGAAAATCCCAATATTATTCAAACCTTTGAAGGCACCCGATTGATTGGCTGCAAGTGTGAGGAAGAATCGACGACCATCAAGTACATGTGGCTGCACTTGGATGAACCTAAACGATGCGAATGTGGATTCTGGTTCAAAGCGGTTCCTGCCCGCAAGTTCTGGGAAGAAGTTGCCGGCCAATAAACCAGCCTTCTCTACTTTACATGCTAGCAGAAGTGTGATGTCGTTTGATTGTCGTTTATTATTATTAATACCTGAGAACACTGTATAAATAAATTAGAAACGTATATATATTTTTAATTCAGTCAGTAGACATCGAGAAATGACGATAAATGAGTGAATCCAATTGACGGTGATTTTTACAAAATTATTGTTCTGTGTATACATCATTACTAAGCCACATAATGGTACAGATTAGGCTGGTCTTTGTCCCGCTGCACATAATCTCTCTCGATCAGACTTTCAATCCGTTTCTTCATTTCGGCGGGCTGCAAGAGAATGAACTTGTTAGTAACTTTCACAGCACTATCACAACAAACAATCTTACCGTTGCAGGAAATTTAATTTGCTTAAAGATCTCCGAAAGAAGCAAATTATGCTGCAACTTTTTTCTCATTTTCATGATGCGGACCACAGCAGCGTCAATTTGATACTGACGATCTTGAAAAACTCGCTCTTGGGTGTTTGTATTTTCCTCTTTCTGCAAAGCGAACGTTTTAGATGATAGTTTAGAGCATTAGCGAAAAGATAAAAACTTACTGTTTCCTTCATCTGAATTTGGTTGATCTTTATCCTGAACAGTTTATTGGTGAACTCGCCGCAAAAAGTGAACTTATCATGGTCATTTATGTCGCGACCTTTTGGATTCTTTATCAGGACTCGAGCTTTTCCACAAGCAAGAGACTGCAGTGTTCTTCGAAGCTCAGGTTCATCTAGCGCCTTCTTAGGATCGGAAATTTGATTTCGAATTTCGCTAAGACTTAGCTCATTTGTGCTGTTGAAGAGTAAGAGTACAAGGCCTTGGAAAAAGGAGACTTGTAGCTCTTTGACGCCCTATTGAGAGAGATTCGCAAGGACAAGATTAAATAAGCAATACAATACAACATGGAAAATCACTTACCGAATTGAACGTTGCCTTCAGGACAAAGTTGCCTAGGTTTCGCTGCCATTGAAGCTTTCGGCCTCCGTGCTTGGAGGTGTAGAACCTGTTAAAGTCCACTTCGTACTGAAGCAACTCGCTGGGCATGATTATCTCCACCGGGTGATAAGTCGGCCAATAACCAGTGGTCAGAATGCTGACAGACATGTCGACAGTGGCACTTGGGTTGGTGTTGAGTAAAAACTGCTTAAAGGTAGGCATGAGCTCACGCGACAGCTCCATATCTTTGAACATTCCTTCCAATTTAGAGGTGAAACCACTGCCGCATTCTTGCTTCAGCTTAAGTAACATCGACTTTTCAGCATCAACCGATGCAGACTTTCCGACTAAAAGACGCTTGGCAAGGTCCTTCTTGTAGAATGCCTCAAAGATGTCTTTGCCGTGAATGAAGCGAAAGATGACCATCACCTTGTCGAGCAGCTTCTCAAACTCCTCTTCGGTTGTCTCCTTATTGCCTGAGCGCAATTTAATGTCTACGAACTTGGCGATCAGTTCAGCGGGCTTATTTGTGCGTTGATTGATGAAATACTCAAAAGCTTCCTTTAGTGAGTTGATAAACTTTTCATTACGGCCGAAGCACTTGATGGCTATCTCGTCCACCTTGTCTTTAAAGTCCAGCAGTTCTTGAACCATGGTTTTGTCCTTTTCTTCAGTTGAAATTACAATTTGCTTTCCCTGATTTTTGATGAAGCTATTGAACTGGCTGCACAGTTTATTTGTTCCTTCGGGAACTCGGGTAAGCAGATTATAAGCTAGCTTCAGCAACTCGTGATCGCTCTCTGAAAAAAGCTTATCGAAGTTGGTTTTGAATATTGTCTCCATGTGCAGTTGAATCAGTTCTCGTTCGACGATGTGAATAAGTCTCTTTGATGTCGAGTGATCCAGGTAGGAAGCAAGCCGTTCATTTTCTTCATTCATTCGTCTATCAATGTAGCAGAGGTAACCGGCAATACTCATTTCTTGGATATTCTTTTCGCCTTCCATGTGATAAAACTGTTGTGACTCTTTCAGGAACTTTGTTTCAAACAAGTCGTTGTAAATTGCCAGATCAGTCAGCATGCGGAGAATGTTCTTTAAAAGCATTCGATCAATTTTTTCGCCATTTCGTTCTTTGGAGATGATGTCTAGTATAGATTCGGTGATTTTGAGCTTAACACTATTATTAAATATCACTTGCTCGCGGAAAATTTCTACTCCCATGTCCCTGAAAGCAACGGAATTAGTATTGATCAACATTGCTGATCACACATTGACTTACCAAATGGAAGAAATCTGAGCGTGTTGAAGGACATATGTTCTGTCCAGGTAAAGGAAAATGCAACGGATCATAATCTAGAAAGAAGAGCATTATTGAAATTGAAGTTTAGACAGCGGGATGATGAAATACCATTTGATTGCAGAAATTCTCCCAGCACTTTTCAGTCATTTTAAGGAAAGTGAGATTATCGTAGTTTGGGTGGAGAAACTGCAGAACCACAGTTGACACATGATTATCCGTTAATTCTCTAAGCTTCATGTAGACCGTCGATGCCATTTGGTTTGAGCACAAATTCTGGACCGCTTGATACAGTTCTTCGAGTGAAGTGCCGGCCGGTTTGGAGTTTTGAATTGAAATGACAGCCTCTCGAAGTTTCTCCCATGTTTGAGGCAGAAAATCTCCGGAAAGTTGGGGCTTGACTGTAAAGGCAAACAAGCGTTGAGAAATGTAAACAAACAAACAAACAGTTCCAAACAGAATACGAACCGAAATTCTTGATGACCAATTTCTTCGAAACATTGCACTTGGTTAACTGGGTTCGGTCGATGTTGTTTTTAGCTTCTAAAAGGTTAGTATTATCACAGGTGTTCGTGGTGGCATTCTGCAGAAACGACATTCGATCGTTGTTCATCTTTCGGTGCCTATTCAAGGAAGTAGCACCCGAAATCTCGTCGCCCGAGTCTAGAGATCTTTTCATTTTCTCTAGTGAGTCTGACTCTTCAAGTCAAAACAGCATGGGTTACACCAGCCGATCTTTTTGCCAGCACTCTCAACGCACACCACCTGTCCTTCACTGTGCTCCTCCCTCTTTGCAGACCACTAGCGGCATCTTTGTGTTTTGATCAAATGGCGCTCAAAACGGCAGTTTTTATTTATTTTAATCTCTTTTATAAGGGAAATCAGTAAAAACTCTGCCAAATGTCAACTGATTTAGCTAATTTGCTTGCTGTGACCAGAAAAGCTCCAGACGTTTGAGGAATTTCTTCCAAATTTCGGCTCTGAACGATGATTCGAGAATATGTACATTTGCCTTGGAGCCGTCTTCGTAGGCAATGACAAGAATGACCTCCTTCACGGGTGGCAGGACAAGACCGGCCTGGTCGAATTGAAGACAGGCAAAGTAGGCGATGGCTTGCAGAGGGTTGTCGTAGGTGTGCGCTACAGTTGGCTTTAACTTCTCAGAGGTTTTCCACTCGAATATGGTAGGAATGTCGTGATAGGTTGCAAGACTGTCCAGAATTCCGCGATACCTCAAGAAAGGATGATGCACTGGGACTTCAGACGCGTAAAGTGTGCCTATCTTTGGCAAAACATGCTCAACACTTTGCCACATTTTCTCGTGAGTGTTTGAGGCAAACTGCAACTTTGAAGTGTCTTTAGTTTCCAAGTAGGTTTGAATGTTAGTGTGTAGAATTTTTCCTCGTGAAAAAAGCTCCTTTCGGTACTTTTGAAAGCCATCGAATCCAAGTTGTCTATAAAACATAAACAAATCTGATAAAGAAAGAATAACTAAGTTAGACCGTAACTTACTTGATTTTCTCAGCTTCCCAGCGTTTTAGCGCCTTTAATGACTCCGGCGACATTGTCTGGTTCAGAATTGTGCTAATGCTTGGATAGTAGTTGGGATTGTCGTCAAGATGTTCTTCATGACAGCACTGGTCTGCTTTCTGGAGTTTCTTGAACCTGCCCAAAGATTTTGGCTTCATTAGGGGAAAATTGACCAAAGTAATATTGTTAAAGTTTTTCGCAATATTTTTGGCAATATCTGCACGCGAAGAAGGCCCCGTTTTCAGAGATTTTGCAGGCTCTGATGATACATTCCTTCGAGGAAAATGTCGTGTTAGAACGTTAAACGACAAACACTTTGAAAAATTCATTTTGTGAAATGTTTCAAAAGTCTCTTTTCAAAAATTCTCAGTCAGCTGCTGTCAACGGGAAAAAAAGTTGTCAACAAAGCACGAATACGTCTTTTACTAGCGAGTCGGTGCCCACGTGAGTAGACTCGCAGCACATTTTTTCAGATTTGACGATTTTTGAAATCTGTTTACAAAAGTTTTTTGTCATCACCTGAAACTCCCCGGCCAGAACATCATGGCTACCTTCAAAAGTACTCCTCAAACAACGTTGCCTGCTACAAGTGAACCTCTGAGCGAAGCTGCAAAATTTTGGAAAACACACCTCAATCCGGCCACTGTTTACAAAGAGCTGAGCGCCATCAATTCGATCGATATCAATCAGAGAGGGGAAATTCTCACTACATCATCAACGCGAATTTCGCTATATGAAGCTGCAAACTTGCAAGTGAAAAGATCATTTTCTACCTCAAATCACACTCTACTGTACAATGGAACTTTTCGCCAGGACAACGCAAAGATCTTTGCTTCTGGATCAAGTGATGGAATCGTCCGAGTTTGGGACGTTAAAAAGAGCAAGCCGCTTCGACTTCTGGGAACCAGCGAGAAAAGCAAATCGAAAAAGCACACTGCTGCTGTACACAGAGTCAACTTTAACGGAATAAATCAGCTCTTTAGTTGCGGTGATGACAAAACCATTAAGCTGTGGGACATAACTGAAGACAGCGTTCTCCGGTCGTTCGGTGTTGGCAACACACACGATGACTACATCCGAGCATCATGTTTTGTTGACTGCATGTCATCCTTCGTATCCGGTTCATACGATCATACAGTCAAAGTGTGGGATCACCGAGCTCCTCAAAGCTGCACCTTCCAGTTCAACCATGGCGCGCCGGTTGAATCGGTAACCTCTCGTGACTTTATGGTCATTTCAGCGGGCGATACTACCATCAAGATATTTGACTTGGTAGCAGGCAAAGTAATGAAGTGCATTGAGAATGCCCATCATAAGACCATCACCTGTGTGCACAATAAAGAAAACTATCTACTTAGTGCTTCCATAGATGGCTACTTGAAGGTGTTCGACATAAATCTAGACGTAGCCGCTTCCTTCTCCTACGTGCCTTCTCAACTCTTATCCTGCTGCTTCAACGGCTCTTCATTAGCTGTCGGTGCAAGTGATGGAATTCTTTCAGTAAATCGAATTAAAGGCATTCCGAAAGCTCGCCTGCCGGCAAATCTCCACGCTGACGATGACGCAGCAGACGAATTCTTTTTCGACAGTATACCATCTCGGAAAAAGCAGAAACTCAACGTCGGACAGGCAGTAGTGGTGAATGCTGGTAAAAAACAAAAAATTTTGGAAAAGCACGAAGAACTTTTACGGAAGTTTAAGCACACTACCGCTTTGAATCGTGTGCTAAGAGTCTATGCAAAGAATGAGCCTCAAATAGTAGTCAATTTTATGCAAGAGCTGATCCGCCGAAGTGCACTTAAGAACGCCCTTGCCGGAAGACCAGACAACCAGCTAAAGTTCATCATGGCCTTCCTCACTCAGCACCTGAGTGATCCTCGGTTCAGTCGCATCCTCATTGACGTCTCACTGGCACTCGTCGAAGTGTACACCACTCAGATCAATCGATCCAGTGAAATTCAGGCCGTATTCAAGCATCTCAGTCAGACTCTAGCCAGTGTGATAAGTGCTCTAACGGAGATGACTAAAATATCCGGGCAGTTACAACTGATAATAAATTCCCAAGTGTTATAACATGCCAATAAACTCGTATTTTGTGTAAAGTTGCTATCACCTGATTAGTTGTATATTGGTAATGTCCATCTGTCTTGCCACATGGCAACAAGTGCTGAAGGAGTAGGAAAGAAAGCCCATGATGAGCTCATGTACTTTGAACTGAAAGAGCTTTTCCCTCGCTCTTCCCAGTACCGTCATGCGCGTCGCCACAGTCGTCACACTGTCACTATCTCGATTGCCTTCGAGGCTACCGGCGAATTTGGCCGCTCACTGATGGTGCAATTTGGTGTCAGCAAGCGACTACTGACTGCTGTGTTGCGTCCGGTACATTCACTTCACACTGTACGGCACACTTCGGTACGACACTGCTCAGCTATGGTAGAACAAGCGAAGAAGCTGGCCGCCACTCGGGCCATTGATGAATACGTTCAGGTACTGACTGCCTTCCTAATGTCACTTGTTGTTTTGATGTCTCTCTACTAATTGGTTGCAGGACAAGTCTGTCGTTGGAATTGGCAGTGGATCGACCATTGTCTATGCAGTCGAGCGTCTGTCGGAAAGGGTGAAGAAAGAGGGCCTCAAGCTGGTCTGCGTTCCGACCTCTTTTCAGGTATGTACTAGTCTTTGGTGTGCGCTTGATCAATGTCTCAAATATATTCCATTGTAGGCAAAACAACTTATTCGACAGCACGGTTTAGTTTTAAGCGACCTGGAAGAAAATGCCTCTCTTGACATTGCTTTTGATGGGGCAGATGAGGTGGACACTAACTTGACCTTGATCAAAGGTGGTGGTGGTTGCTTAACACAGGAAAAGATTGTCGCATCTGCTGCCAAAACGCTCATCATCGTGGCGGACTACACCAAGAGAGCTAGCTTTCTCGGTGAACAGTGGCAGAAAGGCATTCCTATTGAGGTAATTCCTATGAGCTATAAACTGGTCCAAAAGACGATTGAGTCTCGACTCGGTGGATCTGCTGAGCTTCGAATGGCCAAAGCCAAAGCAGGGCCGCTGGTGACGGACAACTCCAATTTTATTCTTGACTGGAAGTTTGCTCCCAGTGTCTCAAATGACTGGAAAGAGATTAACACAACGATCAAGCTAATTCCAGGCGTTGTAGAAACGGGTCTGTTCATTGGAATGACTTCCAAAGTTTACTTTGGAAATCAAGACGGCACAGTTTCTACTTTGTGAAATCATTCCAGGTCAATTTTCAAACAATGATTCTTTTTAAATATACAATCAATAAACTAAAAAGCGATTGATTACAACTGTAGACTGTAGACTGACTATAAAGGAGTTAGTTTTTAGTGGCCATCATGAGGCCAAGCATAATTGAGCCGATTCCGATGGCTTGTGATATTACTCGGCCTCTCATCATCAACTGCTGTTTACGCGAATCACCTCTGTTGAGAGCTTTGAGACCAAAACCAAGAAAGCCACAAGCAGCAATCAATCCTAGAGACATGAAATATTAGTAAGTTTGAGTATGATATTAGATGCACATCAAACCTATTGGTGCAATTGGATTTTCCAGTGTCCTTCGTCCTGCTTTCTGCCAAAAAGTTTCCTGGTTGCCTTGTAGCTCGTCAATTTTCGCTTGCAGTTCCACCCATTCCAGGCTACTCATTTCAGATCCGTTATCGGCAACATCTTTAGTAAACTCTTCTCTTGAATCCATTTTCATGAGGTTAAAAGTTTTGTTGACATGATCATTTCAAAAACATTTTTTCTCTTTTAAAAAGTTTTTGCGACTATTCTCACTCT